CCAGAAACAAGTGAAGTGGTTACTGGGAAGAGGGAATCCTCTAGTATTCGATGCTGGGTCCAGATTTCCAAACGATTGAGCTTTTAGAATATTATATTCGTTCAAACCAGACAGTCTTGGTCTTTTTGCATTTAATTTTGAAAATCCCTAACCCATCTCCACGCTGAATTTCTCTCTGAACTTGGCAACCTTATAAACATATCAGTACTTTTCGGGAAGCTCAAATCTTCTCTGACACGACTGCGTTTTCTTCTTTCCTAACGGTCTGCATTAAAGAAAGTGATAATCCTTCAAAGACAAGTTGGTTTACTTAAGGGGTCTGAAAAACGCGCCCCAACGCAATCAAAGCGGGAACGAGTGCACATACAAATGGTAGTTATTCAAATGGCGCGGCTGCCAGTTCTTCCCGCGCGCGCGAATTTGAACACAACAGTCTGTAGGTTGGAGCACAGCATCATGTGCGGTGTTGATCAACAGAGTGATTCCTTTACCTGGAGTTTTCGAGGAGGATGAGGATCCCTAACTCACTCACTTAACACGCAGTGGTAGAAGATAGTGCAAAATCGTTATAATTTTTGAATTTCCACCTGCTTAAAGTCGGGCCTGATGGTTTTCCATCTTAACTGAAGTCACACATGTATTAAAACATGGGAGTTCATCTAAACTGAATTCCTGTGCTAGGATCCTGTTTTATGTGCCTACAGAATGTTTGGAAATTAACTAGGCAGAAATCCTTGGGCCGAGTGATGTTCAGTTGCCACTGAGACGGGTGCTTGCAGAAGCCAGGGAGAATTTTTAGCTTTGCACTTGTTTTCTTCCAGGTGGGTGTTGGAAGAAAACGCAAATAAAAAGGCAAAAAAACAACGAACCTTAGAAGGGGAGGGGAACGTATCGATCGCCATTTCAGAGGGGGGGGGGGTGTACAGAGTCGACCAAAATCCCCAACCAATGATGTGCCCTGTTGATCACAACAGTCTGTACGCTGGAGCACAGCATCCTGTGGGGTGTAGATCAACACAGCCATTCTCTTTACCAGGAGTTTCCGAAGAGGGTGAAGATTCCTAACTCGCTCACTTAACACACAATGGAAGAAAATAGCGGAAAATCGTTATCATTTTTGATTTTCCACTTGTTTAAAGTCGAGCCTTATGGTTTTCCCTGATGTAACACACGTATTAGAATATCGGAGTTCATCTGAACTGAATTCCTGTGAATAGAGTCAGCAATTTTGCTGGGATCCTGATTTGTGTACCTACGGAATGTTTGGAAATTAACTAGTACAGAAATTTTGGGCCGAGTGATGTTCGGTGCTGGAAGGTGCTCAGAAGCCAGGGAGAATTTTTAGCTTTGCAATTGTTTTCTTCCAGGTGGGTGTTGGAAGAAAACGCAAATAAAAAGGCAAAAAAAAACAACGAACCTAAGAAGGGAGGGGGAGGTCGTATCGATCCACATTTTAGGGGGGGGGGGTCGTACATACTCGACCAAAATCCCCAACCAATGATGTGCCCTGCTCTGTGGTTGTTGTGACTTCGCACATCCAGCTTTTCACGGATAATAAGTGGTCCACCCACCCCAGAGCTCAATCCCCTGAAAAAAGAATCCCGTTCCCTGGCTCGCGCCATATTTTTTGAACGTTTCGATGATTTGACAGCCGCTGTCCTCTAGTTGTCTGCGTTTCTCGATTTCGCAACAGGACTATGCACAAAGGTTGAAGATGCCAAGTAACCGGCGTTGGCGTACTAACGCTGATGGTCGCTGGCTGACGCAAAGTATGAATGCAGCCTTACTGAACATCCCTACCCATTATATACAATCGCAATAAGTGCCTTTGACGGTACTTTAGTGGTTGTAACCATGAGCCCAAATGCTAAATGTCTCTGAGAACATTCGCTAGACGTGACTGTTGTCGAAAGCTCCACGTAATTACGAAAAATCCATCCAGCTGACTAATGAACTGCCCTGACTTACAGGTCATATCCACACACGAGGGAGGCCAAGTGGTCCTAGTCATACAGCTTCAACAGAATCGCAACTGCATTTCTTTGTGAAAGAACTAATTCCACAAAGTGTAGTTTAATCGATAGAGACGGAAAACCGCGGCACTCTGGCAGTTGCAAAACTGTATAATTGGTATGCCTTTTCAAGCAGAATGCAGTTAAAGAAAATTGACAAAACAGCGAAAGACCTCAATGTAACCATGGCGGACTGACTGAATGGAGCTACGCTTTTTTTGGGGGAATATACTCTGGGAAGCTTGTAACGTGGTTTAGCGACACACTGAGCGCCTACCTGGCAAGTAGATTTATCCGTGAGCTAGGAGAACAGTCAGTAGTTAGTAGTTTACCACTTTTGCCACTCGAAAAACTCGCAGATGCAAGCTGCAAGGGTTACAATATGGTTTCATTGCTATATTATATCTCCACACCACTATCCGCCAATATGCGGAATGCGCATGCCGCTAGTTGTAGGCACGTTGCCAAGACGTTCGCTATCAAGCATGCAGCTACAGCTGCCGAGAACAACGACCACCTATTCAAACATGATAGGGTGTAGAAAAGCAGCGGGTGTGGGTGTGTGGATGGCCGACAGTGCTTTGCGTGCCGGCTGCGTACTCATTGTGGGCGGAGACATAAAAGAACATCCACCTATCAAAGCCCAGAAATTTCACTCTCTCAAGGGAACGATGGTAGCGAAAGTGAAATGAAATGAAAGCGAAATGTTTACCGGCTGAAAGGTCTTTGGACGATGATCATCAAACCGTCTTCCACATCTGCTGTGGACCCCCAGGAAGAAGTTACGGAGTCTTCTAGGAGGACAATATCCGCATTCAGTACGAATAGGCGGCGTAAGGCTGACGGGATCGTGGCAGCATGGCCGAATGGATAAGTCGCAGGGCTCAAGAGTGGGTGGTCGAGGGTTTGGATATTTCATGGATGTGCCCTTTATTTTTTTCGAAAGTGGTCCCTGTGCACTTCGAAGCAATTTTGCGTGACTCTTGTGATTGACTCTGATAACGTCGTGACGTAATGTTTCTGAACTCATGGAGCCATTTCATGGAAATCACTTCTGTCTGGAGGGACTGCCATACGAGCCGAAAAGTACAGCAGGTGCAAACACCTTGGGATATAATCATTCAAAACTATGTGAGTGATGAATGAAGGTTTTGCCCATCGCGATCTCGAGCATGATTGCCACATCAGCGCCACTTCATATGAAAGCATTTTCCCCACTATAGTCACCTTCGCGCACAACTTCGTGCCGCTTCGGATTCCAGTCATGTCATTTGGAGAATAAAGTCTTCTTCAGATCCCTGACGCGTGTGCTTTCTTGCATTTTTTCAAAGTGGTCCCTGTGCACTATGAAGCGATTTCACATAACCCTTGTGCATGATAATGTCGTGACATAATATTTCTGAAGTCATGAAGCCGTTGCGAACGACTCCGTCGAGAACATTTTCTGTGTGTTGACCTGTTCTTTCTTTGATTTGGAAAGCATACACAACAAAAGTGCAACGGATGATTTTGTCCTGAAAATAAATTTCTCTCCAAATGACAACTGGAAGCCGAATCCGAAGCCCACGCGAAGTTGTGCGCGAAGATGAGTCTAGTGGGGAAAATGGTTTCGTATAAAGTGGCGTTGATGTGGCAATCACGGTGGAGATCGCGATGAGCAAAACCTTCATTAATCACTTACCTAGTTTTGAATGATGTCTGTCCGAGAGTAGTTTCGCACCTGTTGGAAGTTTTCGGCTCGTATGACAGTCGCTCCAGACAGTAGTGATTTCCATGAAATCATTCGCATTGGCTCCATCAGTTCAAAAAAAAACATTACGTCACGACATTATCAGGCACGAGAGTTACGCAAAATCGCTTTGAACTGCACAGGGACCACTTTCGAGAAAATGCAAAAGGCCGTACGAATCAAAGACCACGCTCTCGTGGGCTCTTTGACCTATCCACTCGGCCATGCTGCCACGATCCCATCAGCCTTACGCCGCCTATTCGTACTGAATTGTTATGAATTCGGGCGAGAGTGCTTTATTAGAGCACTAAACGACAATTGACAACATACCGCACAGAGGGTCTTTTATAGACCCAATAAGACCTATCACTGCATAACACTATAAGTGTAAACAAGCGCTCATAATATCACGTAGGATAGTGAGCTCACAAGTATTGAGCGGTCTGCCACAAAAGAATGCCGATATTCTCTTCCTAAAAAGCTTCATAACTTCTTTCTGGGGGTCCGCAGCAGATATGGAAGACGCTTTCGTAATCCCCGTCCGAAGACCCTTCAGCCGTACACATTTCAATTCAAGGGGCCACTGCGACCTACCATTCTTCCCTTGTAAGATATCCAAGTGGTGAACCGCTACTCCTTCAGAGTTGCCCAACCAGCGCGCGAGTAAGATCAGCATCACAGATAAAGGCAGAACGTGTTTTAAAACCACCATTCTCAATTGATGAAATCATACACACTTTTTCGGGAGGAACTCACAGGTCTTTCACCCACACTCAGGTCTGACGATGTTCGTGGGGTTATAGACCCAGCTAGCGATTGCAAATCGTGTTTATCAGGGTACAGAATCGAGAAATTTATGGCCAGTAGTTGAACTAACACCTAGCTGAAGCTCACAAAAGCAAAAAACAAGCAGCTCTATTCAAAACTCTGCTGGTATCAACCCAGCAAGGGATTTTGAATAGAAGGCCATGTGCCCCCAGCATGTGCGCAAAAGCGGACTGTAAGCATGAAAAAGCAGAAACAGGCGACGAAACGCTGCGAAGAGAGACTGTGAACGAATGAACCGCATCTAACCCACATGTGCAAAAGATACAATGGAAAGGAGGGCGCCCGAGCCGTAAGCGCGCTAGTCGGCGGCAGACCTCTGGCGCTCTTGCTGAGAAGCTTTTGTTTCGCGTGCCCGTGGATGCACGCTTGATGCTGACATCGCAGGTATCCTACATGTCAGCCCAACCTAGGACTGTGCTTTCGCTGATAAGTCAAACTCTTCTACCCGGTAAACGTGTATAGTTACTGAAAAGAATTTCAGAAGAAACAAAATAAAGCCAAAGAACATACTGAGCAATAACAGCGAAGTCGTCCATAAGCTCATCTTCAAACGGATTAAGCATTCCATAATTTACCTGAAATCAAAATGGTGTCACTCACAAGTGTAGTTAGCTAGTAAGCCAGTCAATAATGCACAAGCTCTCTGAAAGCGAAGGAGTGCAGAGGCAATCCAAACAAATTATGAAAATAAACTTACTGCATGTGAACGTTCGCTGTTTCCTTGCTCCACCTCCTCAGATATTAGCTCAATCATTTGCACAAGATGCGATCGCGGAGCGGATTGAATGGCTATCCGCACGAAATTGTGAAGTGATATTACAAAAATCTCCCTCCATTCATTACTGTAGTATTTTCGATAAGCCTGACAACCTTCCGGTTTCGGATGGTATGGAAAAGCTGAAAAGAATGACTCATTGGTGCAGGTTTCTTTTCCTTCTTCATCAGAAAGAATTGATGGTCGCCTAGAATGTGCACGACGTTGGGCGCGCCAGTGGGCGACGCGAGCGAAGCCGCGCCGAGCGAGTTTTCCTGTCTGGCTGTTTCAATTCGGACGCTGAAGAGATGAAAAAAATTCTATACCGCCCATCACGATTTTTTCCTTTGTTTGAAATCATATGAATCTCGCTGCGCCAAGTGATAAACTGCTGCACATCCAGAATGTTCCGCGCACGGCCGCACGGCACTCCGCGCGCGGCAACGCGACAAACTACGACTGTCTTGTCCGCAAGGCACGCCATCGTTGTGATCATCACAATGGGTGAGGGTGGGGGTCGTATTTGACCGCGAGGGAGGAGGGGATCGTTTGGTCAGAGATAAATTTTTTTTGACAGCTGATTTCTCTTGTTTCGCGGACGCTATGAGGGGGTCGTATTTGGTTGTTGTTGGGAGAGGGCTGTCAAAGATGTATACAACTACTATTTCCGATAGTTGAAAATGGTTGTTGAATCCTGACTACCTTCCCTCCCCCGCTCGACAGCGAATTTTGGGGAAAAACCAGAACTTTTTCGGGAAATAGAAAAACTAGGAGAAGGTCAGGGAAAACCCCAGAAATTTTCTTGTTTCATATTGGTTATATCCCCCTCCTCCTCTTACTCCCCCCCACACGACGGATCTTGGTCGAGGAACTGGAAAAAGTGGCAGGAAGTTGGTAAAATCTAGGGTGGTACGTTAGGTAGCATGGGGATGAGGGGTCCTGTTTGAGGATGGAATTAGGGGGTATTTTTCAGGAAATGATCACAACGCATTAGCACCAGTTCAAAACTTCTGACGGACAAATAGGGCTTTGGCGTGCCATGCTTGTCCGTCAGAACTTTTGAATTGGTGCAAACAAATGAGATCTTTCGAGTTAACAGAGTAAGACATACCAAACCACTCAGCCCATGTGGGATTATTCTGAGTTAGTGAAGCACATTTCAGGAAGAACTGGTTACACTTATCCATGCGTTTATTCTCCATGCATTTGACTAGGAACAATCGATACATATCAGTTTCATACACAGTTGTCAAACGAGCATTTTCCTGAAAGCGGAACGAAATAAAGATGTCGAATGATTCACACATTAAATCCTGAAAGTTTGCCTATGAAAAAGAATTGGATTATGGTTACCAGCGAGGTTCCATCTAAATGAAACTCAACCGCAATCGAAACATCATACTATACTTGTCAATACTACAGATCCGAACTGTACACACTTGTAATAAATTTGTGTTGGTACAAAAAGGAAACAAATCTGGTAAGGGCGCACTTTTCCGATACAGGAAATTCGCCCTAGACTACAACAAGTCTCTCTATGAGATGCAAGAACAATTTTCTGAACAAAGGAGTTCGTTTACCCGCCCCCTCAACTGTTTCACCTCAACGCCTAGGTGAAACCATTATCTGCTGGCTCACACTCGCTTCTCCCTACAATCCAGATGGTCTCTTCCTACCTCCTACCTTCTTAATATCCTGCGGCAAAGAAAGAAAATGCGGTAAAAATAGGTACATGTATGTGTGTACAGTTCGTAGCTTAACAGCGCCCAACCGGACAATTTCAACGGCTCGATAAATTTTCAGAATGTACTGTCCCAGCACATTGGTCCAGCATGAAAGGGAATTAATTGACAACAACGGCAGGCTGCCGTCCATAAGCGCAACCTCTGGAAAAGTAAAGGAAAAGATGATAAAGCGCAGTGAACCGTGTAAAGAACTAAGTTACTACAGAAAAGAACTATCACGTTTTCAGAAGGTCTCGTTTATTTTGGAGAGCTTCTTTCCTATCGTAGTAGAGCACATTCACAATAGTCACACTCCATATCCCAGAGATGGGAAGGGAGTGGATGATCTTCATATGAACATGGCGGATGGACTCTTGATCTGGGACCACCGCAATCATTTCCTCGTCCAACACAAGACAAGATAGCAGGTGTCTCAAATGAAAGTATCCTAAATATACTACGAAACAGGCATCCTACACTATTGTAAACGATGTGCGCAGCCATGCCCTTCCAATGTCCAGGATATGGAATGTATTCATGGATATATGTTCAAGAGAGTGAGAGAAAGCACGAAGACGTTACTATGGACTCACACCTGACAACGAGTTGAAGACTTTTGCCTTCCATAGATCCCATATGGATTTCAATACGTCTATATCGAGATTATCCACAGCAGCTAACGCATCAGCAACAAATTTATCAACCTTAAAGTCATAATTACGCGAAGTAAACGCAATTCGGAAACTCAGTGGTCAATGGTGTCGTAGTAAACTATGTTTTTGTAGAGGGAAATGGATCAAAGACTAGAGAATAAAAAAAAGATGGGGTTTCGGAGGCGTTACCAACCTGAAGCTTCAAATCTTTTCCTGATTTCGCATCTTGGTCAAATGCTTTGAGTGCATTGTAAAGGCCACGTAGCAGTAAATATTCTCGTACCAGAGTGTCGGTAATAGTAGATACTCCATTCATAGATACGCAACTTAATACCCTATGACAAACAGAAGAATGCATGATATACGGTAAAAGTGGATTAAGGAGAAGCATCAACAAGATTCCCTAAGAGTTCAAAGAAATACAACAATTTGCCATTCTCATATCCGCTAAGGGTGTACTTTTAAATAACCAGCTGAACAATGTTTTTAGCTTTCTCGAGCGATTTTCCGTGTATTGCTACCGAACATGCCAAAACTCGTGGAATGCGAGGCATTCATTCATTGTCTGCGTCAGCTTTCGTGTTAGGTACGTGGCTCGGCATTTAACACAGAAAACACTTGACCGTACGCGCAAAAGGAAAAAACTCTATGCGGCCAATAAAACCTTGTCAAATTTCTATTTTCATGGATTTAGCCAGGTTTCTTTGAAGTTACACCTTGAGTCAATGCTTAAAGTTCAACATCAGCACGTAACGCCCACCATCAGTGTTAATCGTGCAGAATGCACAACTTGACGGTTACCGTAAGCAACGCGCGGAACAAAACATTTTGGATATCACCGAGTCACTTGCTTCATTTCGTTTCTTCGTGAAAATAGGCGGTCTGCTCATCGTTGAGTCTTAGGTCTCCATTTGAATGCACCCGTTTGAATCGACTTCATTGGGGCGCACTATTTTGTGGTCCGTACACAACCGCCCGGGCGCAGGTTCACAGGAGTTGTTGTACTTTGTTCAGATTTGTTCATCGATTCCAATATATTCTGATTGTATCACTGATTATGCAACCACTCAGTAAGAGGAAGATCAACAAAAATTCTTTTCACGCCCTGAAGTTTGAAAAAGGGAACTTCAAGGGACGTAATGCTATTACAATCCAAATAGGGTATCTCACTGGTTTCACTAAGTTCCTTAAAACACATTGGATGGCAGCATAAGGTATTGGTGTGATGCAGTACTGTAACCAAATAACGAAACTTTGCGAAAGCGTTGGATGTATCAGATTGAAGGTTAGCTGGGCCTTAATCCGATGGGTGTAGCGGTGTTCTACGTATGAACATTGAACTGGGTTATAAAGATATTTATTATGTAAAACATACGATACAAAAGGGTAAGGGAGAGAACCCGGCCAAGGCTTGAGACGACCAACTCCTAGCGTGAGTTGAGAGACGACAAACCCATTCTTCTGTCGGCTCTCGGCTTGCAGCCAGCTTTTATATACTCTCCGCCACCAGTTGAGCGAAACGTCAAACAGCCAGATGCATTCGACGATTGGCTGCTCTTGCGCTTCGCCAACGAGGAATACGACATCTATTTCGGAAAATTCCGACCGTTATTCAGGCAATTATTCGAGCCCGAATTGTCGCGGCTGCCGTTGCGGCGGCGCGGACGGGGTAACGGAACTTCGCCCAGACGTAATCACTACCTTCGGGCACCGTCCGGTGGCGTTTTTTAAGACACAGGGTACGATCACACATAGTTGGGGGTGTGTGACTCTCAGCCGCCCACCTGTCAAAGCGTAGCGGTTTCGTCCTGACATGCGCAGGAATGGGAGCTACAGGACCGTGAAACACGGTAGTTTCCTCCATGCTCCGCCCAATGCATTTTTGCGCGCGCAAACTCCCGTCCATGCTAACCCGTCACTTTCCGCGCGGTCGCGTGCGGCTCTCTTGGCACTTTGCCAAGTACTGTAATTGGGCGCTTGGAATACAAAATAAAATGCAATTTCCTGATGCGGATAACATTTTAGGTGCTGCAAAATAAGAACGGAAGATGATGAGGAGGGCTAGAACTCAAGAACAACTGTGCTGCTTCTGCAGCTTCCCTCAGAGGCGCGCGCATTCCACAGAACTTGACAATAAAAACGACCTAAGCGCCTCACTCGTTAGTTTAAAGTATTTCTATGGTTTTGGGGCGGAATTCGCGCCGGATCGCAGAAATTTACAGGCGATTTTAATTAATTTGCCTTCTCGTTAATTTTTCTTTCTTGTTTTATTTACATCTACATTATTGTTCTTCATTTCTAGCCTTTGTCATCTTCATCACCCTCTATTCGGACTTCGAAGCATAAGCAACACCTCAATGTTAGGGCGCATCAGGAAATTGCGCTTTGCTTGCATAACTAACGTGGGACGCTTAGGCCGTTTTGTATTGTCATGTTCTGTGGGAGTGCGCGGCCTCTGGGACTGCCGCTTAAAGGCACGTTCCGGCGATTAAACTTAGGGCTAGGTTCTCATAACCGTGCCGCCAGAAGGTCAAGAGGCAACGTCGGAGGCTATGCTGCTTACAAAAGTTGAAAAACAGCAAGCAAAAACGCGGCGCGCTCAGCTTTTAGGCCCATTGGCGCCCGATAGGCCCATGCCGGCTCCAGTGACCGTGTCGTTGTGAGACTGTGCCATTGCGCTCTCTCGCTCGTCGTTTTCTGGCCTCTCTCGTCTCTGTCAGTTGTCTCGCCGACTTTTGCCATCCACAATCGATCTTGACCACCTACGCTCTGTCCGGTGATCATGATCAATTGAAATAAAGAGGGTCTATTGTGGGCGCTTTTTCGTGGTTCCTTCCCTTCAATAAGTCAACAACCACAGGGCAGTTCTATTTTTGAACTGTATTACCAATGAAGTGTGGTCGCGGGAATTGCCTTTAACCTACACCCGGAAAAAATGCCGGACGAGTTCTACGAAAACAAGGCGTCCATTTCGTTGCGGGACCACGCGTCCCTTTGACTTCATTTAAATTAGGATACTTCAGTAAGCAGGGCACATTTTCGAGGGGGGTCGTATTTGGCCGCCAGGAGGGGGGGGGTCGAATCTGGGCTGAGAAATATTGTTATGACAGTTGATTTTTCTCGCCTCACGGACGTTGTAGGGGGGGGGGGTCGTACTTGCTCATTGTTGGGAGGAAGGGGGGGGGCGTATTTACTTTCTGGACTTTCTAGGAGTGGTGGTTGACTTTTGGTGATTTTCCTGTTTCATGCGCGTACAGAGTCAACATCCCCAACCAGTGATGTGCCCTGTCAATAAGAGGGTTTTTTTTGCGAGATTCTCGCTTTTGTGCGTAATCATAGTCAATGTTTTTGAGATCTGCTTCTGCTTCGATTAGGAAACACATGAAACCTGAGGTGCAACCGGAAACTTGAACACACCAACTACATCTTTTGTTTTTTTAAGACTACATCCCGTCGGGTGCCACCACTCTTAGAAGTTCTGCCACTAAGCATTGGATTTCAGCGCAGGAAATATCTACAACCTATCTTCTGTAATTGTGCACACAGCCGCTGTTGTAAGAGCTGTTTGTTAGATGTCCGGCGGGCGAAAATTTCCTCTGACATGTGTGTTTGGAGACACTTTCGACTCGCTCAGTTTTATAAGGCTCTTAAGGGAAAGAACTGTGAGTTCAGGAGAACAACTGCAGGTCTCTGTTAGATCTAGACTCATACTGCAATTCTTAACAAGTCGCAATGGTAAACGACCCAGCAAAAATACAACCACAATGTTTTGAATGCAGCTGGAATGGAGAAGAGTATTGCTGCGTGGAGACGTGAATTAGCTCCTTCAGGATCATTGGCAGATATTTATGCTTCGAATCAACCGCAGTATAGTCCACAACATCCCCTTCTGGAGGTGAACGGGAGCAACCCGAGTACATACAAGACTGCTGGAGGCATTCTGAATCATGCGCAAGCTTCGGAACCCAACCACACAGCCAAAAGCAGTATGCACTTAGCAAGTCACGAGACCGGTAACTCAGTATCTACTTCCGTCAGCCTCTCGAAGCAGAACTAGATCTCGAAAATACTAACCATAATTACGCACAAGCGATAACCTCGCAAAACACCGCTCCTACTGAAGCATCCTAATTCGAACGAACTTGAAGGGACGCGTGGTCCCACAACGAAGAGGACGACTTCCGCCCGTAAAACTCTCCGGAATTTTTTCCTGGTATAGGTTTAGGCGACAGTAAAAGCGAATAGTCCACAAAACCAGCCTTTTTTCAATCTTGACCGCGAGCAGTTGTAAATAACTTTGAAGCAATATCACCATCGTACGGTCACACTTCCATAAAGGATTGTCAAAAGGGTTGAAATCACAGTGCTGCAGAAGTAATCGCTTAGTAATCGCTTGAAATACCGTTCCAGAGAATCGTTGCGGGACCTGCCTTTGAGTTGACTGCATCACATCGACATTACTTTAAGGTTAATTTCAGTGCTTCCTCTGGACACAGCTCAAGAATTTTGCGTAACTTCGCCATCAAAGTAACAGCGAAATACAGAAAAATTATTATAGTGAAGCGTGGACGGCGCATCTGCTGGTACCAAGTGAGCATCGTGTATGCTCGCAATGTCCCCTTCCATAGTGAAATCACGGGAAGGAGGCCAGATTCCCTTCGACTGGATCTCTTCTCTTTAGAATACGTTCGCAGAATGTGTTAAGCCCAAGAAGTAGGAGACGTTCTCTCCGCTGGTCGAACTCCACAACCAAAATCAAGCGTGGATTTACGGTATCGCCCTTGGTACGCAATTGCACCGATAATTGTTTTGCGTCGTAACTTGAGCGTTGAAATCTAGACAGAATCGGTTTGTAAATAATGCTGGACTATACTAGCTGAATAGCATCTTTATGTTGTTTATACAGTTATGGCGCGCTACATCGTCCCATCTGTGGCTATATCGTGAGTTTTCGGACTTTTTTATCTCAGTTAAAATCTTTTTTTACAGTTTTAAGTTTTTCAATCAGTTAAAATATGGTGCTACGTTACCTTCAAAGGTAACGATGCAGTGTTATTGTGCAGCTTGTCTTTACTCAGTTGCTGTGCGTTACACCTTTCTTTCTTATGCTGTTGTTCAAACAGCTATTCACCAGAACGAAATCAACTGTGAGGCCAGACTGCCTCGCGAATGGCGGTGTACGCTTAGGAAGTCGACCTCACTCTGGGTGGTCAATCAACCTGTGTAAAAGTCTCCTGCTGTATGAGTTGCAACAGCATACCAATGGGGGTTGGAGCAAACACTCGGAGGCTCATCTTCGTGGACTGGGCCACCTCTAACGTCTCGATTGGGGCAGGTGACCGGACAGCACTTATATGCCGCGCTCTTGGGAGTGACGAGCGACGTCACACCAGGGAAACAAGTCGCTCTCTCTAATCCTTTGAACTTGAGTGCTAAAATGATGGGAAAGGGTCAGTATCGCCCTCACGGTGTCCTGTTTCTGCTTGAATTGATATAGCCTTCGCTGCCCCGGTCGTCAGTCTGCTGCGCTTCGAGAATCGGCCGCTGAGTGCCACACGACACGGCGCGCGACGGCGCGACAGATTGCGGTTGTCTTGTCCGTTTAACTCTCGACTGGACACCGCATGCATTAGCGGATCGCTTTCAATCAGCACCCTTTCCTTTCCGCAAAAGACTTCTTGTCTGCCGCATGGTCAGGACACTCTCAGGTGGATCATCACTGAAGGTAAGAGTTGGGTCCCCCCATAAGAAACCACGCTACACGCCTGGTGGCTACTGCGCGGTAAAGACTGCTAACCTGAGAAGTCTGAGATCCCCACTGAGGAGTATGCACCCGGTTTTCCGGAAATGGCAATCCCTGCTGCTTCGATAAAAACTCGAGTTCATGCAGGGATCTGTTCCGATACACGTGAGATAATTCAGAATCTGCCTAGCAGCTGGGATAAAGCTGGCCAAATGACTCAGTGTCGCCCTTCTCCAGGATAGCATTTTGCGTGATATTGTCCAAACGACTGACCCCTATCTGGAAGAATCGAGCTGGGAGGAGAGGTGGTACAACCTTCGTGTAGCGCTGGTTTCCTCCTTAGGACCACCACTTGTTTCCACTCTGACCAGCATCACACGGGAGAAGGTATGAGTAACTGCAAGCATCTCAGAAACGACCCCATCCAACTCTTCTATCTCTAGCATCCCTTATTTTGGGAAGTGGCCATCCAGTCAATGCCCAGCAAACGGCCACATATCAGTGATGCCACCTTATAACGTTGGCTGAAAGGGGAGATGCTTAATGCAGTCCCAACTTGTCGCGCCGTCGCGCGCGAGCTGTTGTGCGACACCATCTGCACCGGCATGTCGGTTGGAGCAGCGAAACTCTTATGCATTCAAGTGGAGACAGTTCTAGAAGACAGGCGATATCAAATTTCCTCATCTCTGTTACACTTAGATTCAAACCGCTACGAAGACGACTCGTATGTAAGGCGCGCCATGCCCGCCAGAGCCGCATTACGATTGTATTGTCGTACACCCGTTTGAAGGTTTCTCAAAAGAGAGAGTAATTTAAGTACCAACTTTTTAAAAATAGGGCGAGAATTACGGGGCAGCTTAATCATATCATTAATGACGCGTGTGTATCTACTAGTATGAGATTTTTTTCTAGAGCGATTTACTCTGCTTATCGCTCCTATTTCTCTCCAACATCACCAAGCGCATTCGGTATACGAACAGTGGAAGACGCTATCAATGCACTGAATATCAACGAAAACACCCTGGAAGCCTTACGTTTCCTCCAACATACACCAGGTCTTTCTTATACAGCTGGTCTGTTAAGTTTTACGATTCTAAGGATTGGTTTTCATAGCAATCCCTTTCAGAAACATCTTATTTGAACTCGCTAAGTCCAACTGCCTTAGGAGTGCTAGCTCTTCGAGGTTCAGAGCTCAGTAAGTATGTTCCTGTCACAAAATGCGAAATGGATCCGGACGATTTGTCATTTTCAAAACTGTTAACGAAGGTAATTAACTCTCCCTAAAATACTCGTTCATGCTTTTTTTATTTGTCTGGCGCTAGTCCAACACACCGAGCATTTCTAAATGTCCTGCAGTTGTACTGGGTCATCGTGGTGCGGTTCCGTTGAGCCACGATTGTTACAAGTCTTATTCTACTTTGTTTCTCCACTTTGTCTTATGCTAAACCGCGCTTAATGCTGGAGGGTGTCAGGAAATGAAACGGGAATGATAGTTCACACCGAAACTTACCCAGAAAAGGGGTAGGAGCTCTGCAGTTAGGACTTTCAGTGGAGAATAGCCGCGGCAGTACCACCTCCTACAGGATTTCCACATCTGTTCTGCTGAAAAGTCCGTCTTCTTTCATCTCTTTACTCCTCGCTTCTGCAATTTTCCATGAGAAATTTCGCCACTATTGAACTGTTCCTACCCCGAAAACTCAAAAAATTACTTCTCAAATTTCTTTTTCTGAAACTTTGTCTTTAGATGTTATTCGATGACCTGATCACGAATATGACATTCATTTCTGGCGCTGGCGCCATTTGGCGCCAACATGGCGCTAACACTTTTTCTCGCCAAATTTGATGCAAACTTGTATACGGGTTTGAGTGACGTCCTGATCACGAATATGGCGTTTATTTTCGACGTTGACGCAATTCGGTGCCACACATTCTCCTCCCGAGATCGATAAAAAAATTGCGCAATGGGGTTGTTTGCTGCCCTGATCACGAGTATGGGATCGATTCCTCCATACCGGCGCCATTTAGCGTTCTGCTGAGGCTGAAATTGGAAAAAGGAGTGACTCCCTTCAGGCCAGGCTCAGTTTTAGCAAAGCGCAGATGACCATATTGTCCTCCGTTAGTGCCGGCGCCAAGAATAAATGTCATATTCGTCAACAGGATGTCAAATAAACCCCGTATGCAAGTTTTCATCGGTATCGGTGATTTAGGGTGTTTTGGCGCCGGCGCCTGTGGCGCGAGCGCCAAACCATTTTTGCCAGAGCGAATGTGATATTCATATCCGGGGGGTCAAACTACTCCTAGGGACAAGTTTACACCGGATTTGGTGATTTAAAGTATTTTGGCGCCGGTGCCTGTGGCGCGAGCGCCAGGCAGTTTCTGGTGAAGTGGATGTTATATTCGTGTTAAGGAGGTCAAAGTACCTCAACGAGCTAATCAGCCAAGTCTGCCGTTGCAGAAAAAGGTCGATTAAAACTAGAGATTTCTCCGTTCCTGAAATTCCCGCTCGCATTAAGGTAGGATCCTCTCAAGCAGCGACAGACTTCGCGATGACTTGCTGTGACGCGCTATGTACGCACTTCGCGCTACTACTTCAAGAGCCGTTTATGCTATGGACGCGAATGCAGCCGGAGATGGGAATCGATCAGCGCCGCTCCCTTATGTTTTTAGAAAGTATAGAAGACTGGGAATTTAGGCGCTGTCACACATCTGGCAACGTCTCATCCCTCTGTACTCTTCCAAGATTGGCGGTCAGTGCTGATCGATAACAAAGTGTGTTTTCAGAAGAAATGTGCCCACCAACTCCCCCATACACTTTCGAAATATACTACAAGTGGACAGCTCGCTCGTAATATGGGGGACATAGTGTAGTAACCAATACAACTACACTATATCCCCCATACTACAAGCTGCCGGCGTCGATCGATTTCCGGCTGCATTCGCGTCTATAACATGGAAGCGCGGTTGGAGTTGTAGCGCGTCGACGCGCGTCACCGTAAAGTCTGAACGCTCTCTCAGCAAACCGCGCGTCACCTCCTCCTTACAAACAGCTCAATGAGACCCCTCGACGAATATCCTGTGAGTATGATGTGCCCTGCTCGCAGTGGATAAACCGATTCCTTGGTGCTGAAAATGGTTTCCGCGTTTCATAAGAAAAGAATCACCTACCGCAGAGGCTTTGCAGGCCTTCATTCAATAGCTCCGGTGTATTGGACCAGCGCCTGTCACTTTGACATGTGAAACTTCTAAGATTTGAAAATTAATCCATTACTGAGTGTTGGTCATTTATTTTTAGTTCAACTTAGGTGACGAGTGGAATTCTGCTATAGCGTGGCTAAACAGGTTGGTGCGTTTTTCTTCCATCTTGTCGGCTTCTCTGTAGTTATTGCCACAAAACAAATTGAAATGTCACTACTATATAGTACGTAGGGTGGCGTGTCCGGAGGAAGACCTTGCATGTCCTGAGGAATGGTTAACGAGGCGACCGAGTCAAGTAGCGCGATTGCTCCAGTTGCTACGTATCATGTTTGTGAAGACGGAGGTGCGTTATATCCAGTGTATTAGTAAGCTGGACGAGTATCGCGACATCTCGATCCTAATTCCTGATTGTGTATTCTTTCATGAAACGAGTCCGCTACAGTCGTTTTCGCTGCTGGTGTGTGTCAGGGAGGGGGGGGGGAGGCTGTTTCTGTCGCGGCGCCAGCCGTTCTCCACCAATTGAGACGTGAGTTGTAAGCGAAAGTGACCGAAGTTGAAGCGGGAAAGCGCAGCACTTGTTGGAAGGCCACGGCCTGGTGTAGAAAATGCCCTAGCCCTCTATCCATACCAGCGTTTGCAGCGAAAGCGATTATATTGCAATTACAAAAAACAAACCATCAAAGTTTAGTGGAAAAGTAGATAGCGTGATTTTTGCCTTGTTCCGATTTTCTTGCTGTTGTTTGGTTGACTCTCAATCACACGGGGTTGTCTCAGGAGGGGCGGAATGAGCGCGCCTCCGGCTGCCTTGCTGTACCGTTTCTGAACGGCTAAGATCAGTTTGGGACAAAACCTGAGACACGACTCTTCAAATCAGCTTCACGACTTTTCAAACCAAATTCACGGCTCTTCAAATCAAAGCCTTGATTTCTTAAGTCAAATTCAAGACTATCCAAATCAAATCCACGACTTTTCAAATCAACTTCACGACGAACCAAACAGTGAAATTACCGCGGGCGGGCTCATTTTATCCCACTTGAAATGGGCCCTATTGATTGCGGGTATTTTTCTAATATTGGGATCTGTCGTTATTCGAACATTTCAGTTCCCATTTGATTCGAACGTAATTGGCGTGGAAATTGTTCCATTTCTCTACGTGGTATTTACCCAATTTCGTGATAGCAACAAGGAGCTTTCTATGCTGTCGCTGAAGATCCTTTCCAATGTCGCTCTCAACAGTCCAATATACGCAGTTTCTATATTTACATCGGGTAAGCTGGCCAAAGGGCTTATTTTCTACTGCAGAAAGTTTTTGTAGTTGTTTAGATTGGCTTCCTATGCTAGCCGCTATGGTCACGCGAGGTAAATCCTTGGAGGAGAGGCTTCTATCACACAAGGTCAGTATGCTTACCACATTCATCGTGGCTATATTGATCTACAAATCCCCTATAGTTTTTAGCGTTCTTTAAAAACAGTTCCCGCGTTGAGCAGTTTAAAAGCTTTCTTTCTTGTACAAGTAGTCTGGCCGTCAATCTCCAAAATTATCCCTCTTTCGCGGCTTCACGGGAGGTAACGATGGCGCTGAGGCTCTCATAAGTGGCAGTTCTGACGTCTCTCCAGTTATTCCGCCCACAAACTCAAAGACTATTTTCTGTTGAGCTGTGTTTTTTATTTTCTTTTCTTTGTTAGACAGTATTAGTTCTAAGGGCCGCGAAGTAACGATTAGTTAGCCAGCGGCGGCTGGATATTGCTTTGCAGGCGTAAAACAAGCGGGCAGGAGAACTCGTCCAGAAGGCCTTTATTCGAACTGTTCTCCAGGGAACTTTATTTAAGGTGTTCTCCATTATTTTTCGGCATTTGTCTAACCTGGAATGTTACTTAGCGACTATAGCTTCGCTATTGAACGCCGCTAATCACTATGCAGTCCCAGAGTTTGCCTCTACTCGTCAAATCATAGAGAACTATATTCTATATTGAAGTGATTTACGCTTTGCTTTTGTACCTTGATTCGCTCTTTTGGGCATGTGCTGTGATCTCTTTTTAAGATCTGCCAAAACGCTTTGAGTACACTGGGTGTTGTCGACTACCAACTGCGTTCCGATATTTATGAGCTGTTCCTACCCGACAGGGAACCAGAGGTGCTTTTCAACAGTCTCTCAATTACACACTTTATAGCTTTCGCGTGTTGAATTATTGATTTTATACCTGGAAGTTAGATCTGACACCCACGAGGGGAAGGGGGGGGGGAGGAGGAGGGCAGGTACGTGTGGGCAGAAGTGCGTCACTTTCTCCATCCGGTCGCTTTCGGCTAATGGACGCGCTCACTTCTGGCTGCGTGCTCATTTATGCTGAAAACTTGCATACTGGGATTGTTTGACATCTTGATTACGAACATGGCATTCATTTTTGGCGCTGACGCTATGGGGCGGGGGCACCATGATTACCTGCGCTCTGCTGAGCCTGAGCCCAGAAGATAGTCGTAGGGTCCTCCTCAAGCGAGCGCCAGCGCCAAGAATGAATGTTATATTAGCAATCAAGATGTCAAATAACCCCAGCATACAAGTTTTTAGCGGATTTGGTGATCTAGGCACTTCATAAATGAGCTGCTAGCCAAAAGTGAGCTCGTCGAAACGACATTAGCCATAGCTTTCTATTTTTTTATTTCTACGCCTTCCTTTCGATACGCTGCGCGTCCTTGTAATACGCCGCTAGACGCGCCTTAGTTTTCGTTGAGTTCACCTTTCACCTGACGTTTCTTTCGAGGTGATTCAAAATGTGAGATCTGAAACTACACCAAAAGGAACCATAACGACCTCAGCTAAACCCAACGAACACTATCGAGGGCGCATTTGAACGCCGCATATCACGTAGCCGTATGGCTTATCAAATCATGGGCGGAGACAAAAATGCTTCCAAGCAATCACACTCTTACTTTCATGCCACGCGTGTTTGTGTGGTGAAAAGCACTTTGCAGCTGCGGACCCCTCCATCTTGAACTTGATAAGGATCCACTTTCCAGTGTATCATTGAGGCGTTTTTTTTCGAATGCTGTTCTTCTAGGTTGATCTCATTATGATTCACGGCCTTTGTGGAAGTGTAGCACATACTTGGCGGCAGAAGGACCATTCCAGTAACATTGTCTCTGATTGCTGGCCGAAGGTTGGTTTCATGTTTTTCTTGCCCTTGTTCGTCTTATCTGAAGGATATACGAATACGTGTACAGGATTGGCTCCATATTGATATTCCCCAGCCCATGCGTATACTTGGATTGGATTATCCATCATCATTGATGCAGTTTACTGGTATTATGGAAAGTCTACAGGTACAGTTGAGGCGGTCTTAACTCCTTATTTCCCGTGGTTTATGGAGACTTGTTGCCATGTAGGTTCGTGCAGATCGTTTCAAATACCAATTGGAGGCTGCAGGAATTGGCCGACGACCAATCATCTTTATTTGCCATAGTATGGGTGGTCTTCTTGCAAAGCGATTGCTGTTAGATCTCCCTGCTTTGGCGGAGAAAACGGTACGATCCGTTGAAGCCTGTGAACTACAAGCACCGTCATCTCCCAACACAATGTGTGCTTTGGGTGTGGAGCGTTACTCCGGATTTGCAGCACCGAGTTTTCCTTAGCTACTTATTTAGACAGGCATGGGGACAGAGGGTTAGTCCTTCAGAAACGCAGACGCGGACTGAGGCGAGCGAGTCAGCGAGCCGCAACACAGCCACGTTGATTGTGTTGGGTCCTGGTGCGAATGCTGCGTACGTCACCCTGCTCGTGACGCTTATTCGCAACGCTGCGACTCGGAAGTAACGTCCCATATCCCTTGTACTTTCGATTTTTTCACCTGACTTTGTTTTCCTTTTCAGGTTGGAATACTCTTTGTAGCTACACCTCATCGGGGATCACCAATAGCTGCATGGGGATATTCGATACTTCGTCCAACTCTGGACGTTCTGTTTCTGTTGGAAGAAAATCCCGTGAATAAGCAGGTAAGTTTTGGCTGCGGTACCCCCCCCCCCCCTCCTCCTCCTCATCTATATTGTGTAGCAATGATTCTCCAGAAAGTTCTGTTTTATTTTGCAGTTGAATGAAGATTTTTCAAAGATCAGTGATACAATTCCTGTGATCGTTAGTATGGCGGAAACCAAGGAATCTGATCTAATCGGTGAGGATGTTGTAAAAGTTTTTTGAGGTTTCAGGGTATGTATGAGAGCAGCACTTCACTAGTGCACGGATGATTACCTAAGGCCACCTTGGGTCACTTCATTGGGAAAGTCTGCATAAATTCAACTATATTTGCAGGTACTGCTAAAGGTATCATAGTACCGACGCAATCTGCAGTTTTTGAAAAAGGAGCTGTTTATCACATCGATGAGGTTCGTTCGCATAAGATTTCCTGCTTAGCTGTTTCTGTTCTCTTTTCACGATTTGACTGGTTCTTTCCTTTTCTTTGTGACACTACTTAATAGAAGCGTAGGCGTAGGAAGTGGCCTGCCTACGAAGCGTGCTGTCCAGGAATCAAATCCGGAGTGGTTCAGCGCAGATCAACCCAGCTCTTGCATTGACCGTCTCTCAAACTGTGGTCGACCGTGCCCTACCGCTAACCAACTGTTAATACAGTCACTCTCAGTTTAGAACATAATTTCATTGTTGCAGCGGTCCAGTGATTAGCGGTTGAGCGCAATTGGTCGTATTCGTACGATTCCGGGCTCATGTGATTGAATTGTTCCGAAAGCATGAATATGACCTTATGACTGATGGTGATACGGCTATGGTAACTATTTGCTAAATTACAACTTAAGGTTCATCACAATGTTTGCAAGCCTTCGGAACGCAATAGTCCAGCGTATGGTGTGGTGCTGAATTTCCTACGTGATTCCATCCAAGAGGCAAAGAAAAGGAAGCAAGGAACATGAAATACTGTAGCTTGTTGTATTTTTGTATAGAAAAGGCTGATGGTGCGTAACTTCAGTACGTGTTAATAGAAGCAGGGAGAACATATTTCAGGAATAATTCTAAAAAGTGAAACAGCTAATGATCTAAAGGTGGTACTTTTTGTAATCAGGTTTTTTAGCTATTGCTTTGAAGTCTTCCTTATCAAATGATCATCCTTCTGAGCTTGTTTTTTTCAGTTATATTGCAATTTGTATAGAGTGTACAATTCTACTTCAGTACGTCCCCGATGTGTGTATAAAACTTCGTTCTACAATCTCACCATTCCACACCTATGCCTGAGCTAACCGTGGTCTGTATAGCAGAGATATCAAGCTGAATTTGAGAAGCATCGTAATAAAAATTGGGTCTCATTTTTGAATAAATTATGGAATCCTTTCTTGAATTCATTCTGCATTTCACTTCCTCGGGAACTATTAACTGTTTGACAACGCCTTTCTCGATTATCACGGTTGTCCCGCTTGGAAGGCTCTATTCCCAGAGCAACGGTCAAGACAATCGTGAACTGCTGAGCCGTCGCGCGCGGCGAGTCCTCGATGAACACCTCTTCTTCGACTGGTTTAGAACAACTCATGATAGCTCCATGGCGTGCGGTATCGATCCCTAACATTCAAATACAAACAGTCTGCAAGGACAACTCGTCTCTTGTGTGCGCGACGTCGATCGCCACGCCCAGTGCAGCTATTGCGGATCTCTCACCATGCACATCTCTGACAATGAGTCGACAGGCATGCGGGAAGACTGTCGTAATAAGCCGCGCGATGGTGCGACCCGGAACAAACGTTCCGCATCCATGAGGCAATTAGATGGTTGCGATGGCGTGTCGCACTCGCACTTGCCATTACATCCATTCCCTCGATTGTCATTATGACACACTTCATGTCCCTTTCGAATTGCTGACGTCGACATCGCCTTGCATCTATGAGCGCGTCCATGCTTTGCAATCGGATCGCTCGACTAAGCCGCGCGATCGACTATAGACCCGTCCGACACTCGCTCACAACACGTTAATGGCATTATGCTCGTTGATGATCATATTGCGCAAACATACGAGCTCACCACCGCGAAGCCAAATCGCAAAACACCTCTCCAATGGGATTACTTCATGAGGTATCGTGCGCCTTATTCTTAACAGTTCTGTTTTTCAGCAAGAACATGTATGAATTCCTACATGCAAAAAATTATCATCATATGTGCAGTTGATGCCTTCCTCAAACAAGCGAAGTAAAGGAAGAGTTTAGCTCTAATAGCTTTAGAGCGAGCATTTGAAGGACTTCTCAGTGAACTAGATCAACGCATCCGATTAGATTTGCCGCCTCTTGGGTACTCGCGTAACACGCGCTCACCTAATCCGCAATACCATTCTCCTTTAGGATTACGCTAGACAAACTGTAAGGTAGACTATTTATACTCGATATCCCGAGATGGAAAAGGCGTGGCCGCATACTTCACTGGCGGCGGCTTGCGCTTTTTGTGGGCTCAAGGAGGTTGAGTCTCGTTCAAGAACAATCACAATCATGTCTTCGTTCACACAAGATAGGATGGTGCCTGTCCCCAACGGAACATCAGAAACCAAACCGCCATCACCATCCCTAGATGGGGTACACAGCCGCGCCCTTTCTACCTCTCAGGCATCGACTGTAAGTAGTTTGGTTTTACTCAAGTGGTCCTTCGAATGCCCCAAGCACAATATTGGAATTTCAAAGTTGTTGAAGCCGGAACCTCTCTTAGGAGAGGCGAGATTTCCTATCGAAGCAGAAAGGTACAGAACATCTGAGTGTGATAAAAGGGAGTGAAATGTTGAGGTGGCCGGAGGAAAGTGCTCTTGGCAGTACTCCTACTTCTGATACAATGAGTGAAACGGTAAACTGAAGGCAAGGTGGAAGTTTACCTCTTACCTCTTGTTAGGTACATGTAATAGAGAACCGTTCCAATACTTTGACGAATACTTGCTATCATATCAGGGCTGTATGAGAGTCAGGGCACGTCCCGCCTCTGGAAGAATTTTTGGAAAAACACCCCCTAGATCCCTCCTATAATACGACCCCATTCTCCCCCCTTCCGTCCTACCTCGCCCTTTTCGAGTTTGCCCCCTTTTCCCCTCACACTTCCCACCACTTTTTCCAGTTTTTTTTCCCCGAAATTTTTCGAAAATTCTCTAGCCTTTCCCCAAAGGTTTGCTCATGAAAGCCAACAACTGGGAGAAGTTCCCCAACGGCGCAGATTTTTGTCAAATGCAAATACGCCACCTACTGGGAGGGGGGGGGTCGTTTGCGCTTGACAGGAATTTGCGGCCTTGCGACCCCGGGTTTCTAGGCCTAATCCCCTCTGGGTATCGACTGGACTAAAGCAAATTCAACTAAAGAAGTAGAGCTGATGGGATAACAAAAGCGTCCTTCCGAAAACTTTAGGAATGCAAGAGGGAGTCACAAATCTTCCCACTCCTAGCACTGTACTGCCCTGTTTCTTGATTGGTCTCATCGCCAAATTTAATCTATTGCCAATCGGTATTTTATTTCCACTGCTTCCTTAT